ATTGCAATTATGAGACCTCCTACAACATCAGGGGTATTGATATTTATTCCGTTAGTATACAAAATGCCCAGAAAATTGACTATGGCAAAATAAGCTTTTTTAAAAAACTTATTAATTTTTTGGTTGTTGATAGACCTTTATTTTATTTATTTACATGCAGTGCTGAGAATCAAACTCAGTTCCTCATGCATGCCAGACAAGTGCACTACTGTTGAGCCGTAGCCCCAACCCCACAAAATAAGCTTTTGATTTTGTATTATGTACTTTAGTATTTAACCAAAAGTATTTATTGAATTAGAACCTGGGCATTTATTTTAATCACCCCCTTAGAGAAGTATGCATACATTGTCTTGTTTATTATGCTGTGCAGATCTGAGAACATCTCTGATGTGCAACAAATCATTACTAAACTATCTTGAATTGTCTCTTAAGAATTTCACCATATGCATCTTTGCTGTCTTTACAACCAGGTTTTAAATGCATGGATCTCCTCCATTTAGTCTTCAGGAAAGGATTTTTTTGCGTGGTAAAATGAAAGTTTAGATCACTTTCTCTGAAAAAGTAATTTCAGGATTGCTCATGGTTTACATTTAAGATACAGCACACATTTAACTTCAAATTTAATACACGCATTCCCTCAATGGAGATTTAAAATAAATAAACTAAACTAACCTTCCTGTGAGAATATACTGAACATACACAATTGGGAAATATCAAAAATTCTAGTACAAAAAAACATTGCTTTGGATTTCAGAAAACTGGACCCGTTTCTATCATAGTGCTTTTGACACATATATTGCTAGCTAGTTTTTTTCCTCTTGAAATTAAAAAAAAAAATTCTATATTTCTTTACATGTGAGATAAGTTACACAATGAACAACCTAACAAAAGTTATCCAAACTATTACTTAATATCAGGATTTTTTTGTATTTGTGTGCTTTATCACATATGGCATTCAATCAGAAATTTGAGAGCTTTTATTTTTAATATTTTTACAAATTAAGTGTACAAAATATTTGTGATAGAATCAAATGGTGCTCTATTTTTCATAATGAACTGGGTGGCAGTTGATTTTTAGGCATGGGGGGAACAAGAGATTTTCCTTGCAATTATTTGTTTAGGATCTTGACCATTCAATAAAATATCAGAAAAGACTAAATGACCACTTGTTTGTATTAGAAGTTTCTTTTTTAAGGTTTTGGCATCAGGATAATTCTTTTTTGTTCTCAAAATATAAAAAAAATTTAATTGATTTTTTAAAAAATAAATTACAACGGAATGCATTACAATTCTTATTACACATATAGAGCACAATTTTTCATATCTCTGGTTGTATATAAAGTATGTTCACACAAATTCATGTCTTCATAAATGTGCTTTGGATAATGATATCCATTACATTGTACCATCCTTGCTAGCCCTCTGCCCCCTTCCTTCTGCTCCCACCCCTCTACCCTATCTATTCCTCCCATACTCCCCCTTTCTACCCCACTGTGAGTCAGTCACCTTTTATCAGAGAAAACATTTGGCATTTTTTTTTTTGTGATTGGCTAACTTCACTTAGCATTATCTTCTCCAATGCCATCCCTTTACCTGCAAATTCCATGATTTTATTCTTTTGTATCATTGAGTATAATTCCATGTGTATATTTGCCACATTTTTTTTATCCATTCATGCATTGGAGAAAAGATTGCCTTTTCAACAAATGGTGCTGGGAAAACTGGAAATCCCTCTGCAACAAAATGAAATTAAAACCCTATCTTTCACCATGCCCAAAACTCACCTCAAAGTGGATCAAGCACCTAGGAATTAAACCAGAGACTCTGTATCTAATAGAAAAAAAAGTAGGCCCTAATCTTCAAGATGTGGGATTAAGCCCCGACTTCATTAATAAGAATTTTATAGTGCAAGAATTAAAACCAAGAATCAATAAATGGGATGGACGAAAACTAAAAAGTTTTTCTCAGAAAAAGAAACAATCTGTGAGGTGAATAGAAAGCCTACATCTTGAGAGCAAATTTTAACCCCTCACACATCACATAGAGCATGAATCTCTAGGGTATATAAAGAACTCAAAAAGCTAAGCACCAAAAAAACAAATAACCCAATCAATAAATGGGCCAAGGACCTGAACAACAGATACTTCTCAGAAGAAGATATACAATCAATCAGTATATATATATATATATATATATATATATATATATATATATATATATATATAAATTCATCACCTCTAGCAATTATAGAAATGCAAATCAAAACTACTGTAAGATATCATCTCACTCCAGTCAGACTGGCAGTTATTATGAAGACAAACAACAATAAGTGTTGGCGAGTATGTGGGGAAAAAGGTACACTCATATATTGCTGATGGGACTACAAATTGGTGCAGCCAATATGGAAAGCAGTATGGAGATTCCTTGGAAAACTTGGAATGGAACCACCATTTGACCCAGCTATTCCTCTTCTCTGTCTATACCCAAAGGACTTAAAAACAGCATACTATAAGGACACACCACATCAATGTTTATAGGAGCATAATTCATAATAGCTAAACTATGGAACAAACTTAGAAGTTTATTTTTTCACAACTTATCACCTTGATCTCGAAATATTTATTCAACAAGTAGCTATAAAATCTACAAATTTCCTTTCATAGATTTTGATTCATTTTATAATAAAAGTTTTATGTTTTAGAGTGTGTTTTTATACAACTAAGTTTTAGTACAGTCATCTTCTAATGATACATAGTTTGAATACCACTTGGATCTATCCACAAAAGAACTGATGTTACTATTCCTCAAATGTAGCCTTAGCCTGATGAGGAAGTGGGAAAGACATTTTCAGTAATTCAGGGTAATGCATTCACTTTCTGGAAAACAGATTAAATTATGATTCTGACTAATGTTTGGACTGGTGATAATGACTATACCCTGGTGGGTATGAAATTGTAATATTGCACTGAAAGCATTTCTGAGAAATGGGCCTAGCAAGTGCAATTCCTTGAAGGGCATTAATTGACACTTTTGGACTTACAATCCCAATGGCCCCAATTGAGGAGAACGTCACAATCCTCATTTGTTTATAAGGTCCCTATTGCTCTAAGGCAACGTTCCATCCCCTGATATACTGATAGCTCTAATGAGTTTCTCCTTCTGGATACAAATATGTTTAGTACACTTAGGTCTGTCTTCTGTTGTAATGGTAATCACAATTGCTTTAGTATTCAGTTTTAATAAGTTGGTATAGTGGATGAGAGCTTAAGTTGTAGACAGACTTTTAAGCTGGTGATTTCAAGGAGACCAACACCAGTGACCAGGTCATCCACACATGGTGAGGAATAAGTAGAAAAGATGACACACAGGGAATATGAACAGACACAGGAAGGATGGAATTAAAAGGAATTGCTTAGGTATCACTTAATCACTAGGTAAGAGTATAAAAGAATAATATGATCAGAATCAACAAATGTTGATTTGTGGCAAAAGGGATGGGGAAAAGCAACCACTTTTCCTTCTATAGTGCTGATGCCCATACAATGAATATATCCTCAGCTCACAAAATTAATTTTGATAAGGTGTTTATTCCCCACTCTTTACTAAGAAGAAAAAGGAATCATGAAATCTGTGCCTTTTCACTACTTGAAGCTTTTATTTTTTTGTCCCTCCCTTTATACCCCTTTTTATCTGTCTTTATACGTGAACCATCTTTAACATGCTATAAAGTCATCTCAAAGCTCCCACTTAGTTCTGGTTAATCCATTAAGTCATGGGTACAACTACAGAAAACAGAAAATTACAGAGAAAGCATAACATTTGGGACCCTACTTCTCATTCTAAGGAAAAATAAAAGTTTAAATCTCCTGAAAATTTTTATCATCCCTCAATTGGCAGTAACCTCTAAGTGAAGGATTTACCATTGGAGTATTGTTGGTTTTGATCCAGTTATATATTTTTTAAAAGTTCTCTTAAAAATGTCATGACTGGTTATCCTGGATGGTTACTGATTTTTTAGTAAGAATTAGGATAACAAGTTCTTAACTCTTTACATTAGCAATATTAAAAAAAATATTAGGGTCTTGTAGCTTGGGAAACAAACTAATTTTTCCACATTTTCTTGTTTCCAATCAATCCATTATCTCTTTAGGAGTTGCATTTACAAAATATGAGAAAATAAGAGACCCTACATACCAAGAAATCACAAGTGGCTCTAACATGATTTTTTTTCCCTGCCATAGCTAACTGGAAAAGTATGAGAGAAAAATAAAATTGTCCATTGAAGGACAATTGAATTGTGTGGTAAGTTGGAAAAAGGGGAGGTTTCAGAGAGAAAAAGAGATATTTAATGCTGGGCTACTGTGTATTATTACAGTGCTGGGCTACTCTGTATTATTACTGCAACTATATAACAAAAACCACTACTTATGGTTCTGATAAAAAACTGAAGACTAAACGATGAAAAAGATTCACCTAAGATTCATAAATATTTATGACATATAGACTATTTTTAAAGGAACATAAGATTCAATATGTATAGTATATTAAATAAAAATATATTTATTAGTTTCATTAAATATTAATAATTCTTCTCTAAACTGAGGAATTTAAAGTATGTAGGTGATAAATATTATGTTGACAATTTAAATACTATGTAGATCATTGTCCTAGAGAAAAAATTATTCAGGTTCAGTGGTTCATATTTTTCTGAATAGAATGAGATGAAATCTCAGTGTAGTTTTAATTTGCATATATCTAATTTATAGAGATATTAAACATATTTTCATATATTTATTGAACATTCACATATTCTTTGAAAAGGGATATGGGAAAATGATGCTAGTAGTAAACAGTGGTTGGACATTCAAAATACTTTTGTTACTCCTTCATGTATCCTTACAGTTTGTGAATCACATTTTATGATGTGTGTGTGTGTGTGTGTGTGTGTGTGTGTGTGTGTGTTTATGAAATTGTTTCCCTCAGGTAACAGAAAACAAATGATGATGGAAAAATTCAATGGTACCTCTGAAGACTACTTCATTCTATTGGGATTTTCTAATTGGCCTCAATTGGAAGTAGTTTTCTTTGTGCTGATCTTGATATTCTACCTGATGACATTGACAGGCAACATGTTCATTATCATCTTGTCTTACCTGGATTCCCATCTCCATACTCCTATGTATTTCTTTATCTCAAATCTCTCTTTTCTGGATCTCTGCTACACTACCAGCTCTATCCCACAACTGCTGGTGAACCTGTGGGGCCCAGAGAAGACCATTTCTTATGCTGGTTGCATGGTTCAACTTTACTTTGTCCTTGCATTGGGAACAACAGAGTGTATCTTGTTGGTGGTGATGTCCTATGACCATTATGTGGCTGTGTGTAAACCCTTGCATTACATTGTCCTCATGCACCCTCAACTCTGCCACTTGCTTGCTGTGGCTTCTTGGGTATGTGGTTTTACCAACTCAGCAGTTCATTCTCTCTTTATTCTCTGGGTACCTCTATGTGGACATCTACAAGTGGATCACTTCTTCTTTGAAGTACCAGCACTCCTGCAATTATCCTGTTTCGATACTCATGCTAATGAGATGACCATCATGGTCACAACCTCTATTGTTGTTATCATATCTCTCGTCCTCATTCTGACATCCTATGGTGCCATTGCTCGGGCAGTACTGAGGATGCAGTCAACTACTGGACTTCAGAAAGTCTTCAGGACATGTGGAGCCCATCTTATGGTGGTCTCCCTCTTTTTCATTCCAGTCATGTGCATGTATCTCCAGCCACCAACAGAAAATTCTAAAGACGGAGGCAAGTTCATTGCTCTCTTTTATACTGTTGTCACCCCTAGCCTCAACCCACTCATCTATACCCTCCAAAACAAAGATGTAAGAGGGGCAGTTAAGAGACTAATGGGGAGAGGATAACCTGTATGACTCTGACATTCATAGTGTAATATGCGTCTCTTCATCAATGGTTCATCCATCCATCCATTCATCCACCTTAGTCACTCAACACTTACTCTTAGCAGGCCACAGAGTTCTTCTAATCATACATGATTAAAACATAATCTACCTAAATAGCATTCAACTCTGGAGAACCCAGCCATGTAAAATCAAGATCAAATATCAATAGTGATTTTTTTTCCATATTGCAATCTAAATGAATTCAAAGCCTTTTTGAATTGAAAATATTTCAGAAATTTCTTGTAACTATTGATGTAATAGCAGTTCATAATTTTAATGCAAAGTCAATGTGCTCAAAGAAATCATCTTTACAATATGTTTTTTAATTTCTTGCTTTTTAGGCAGAATACTTTGTCTTTTGTATTTAGTTTAAGTATACACATAGCAAAATACCTTAACTATTTCTCTCCATTACTGTTCTTTATTGCATACTGCTATGATTTGAATATGACTTCAGTGTGTCACTATAGGTTCATGTGCTGGATATGTGATTTTCTTAGCATAGCAGAGTGGACTGGTGATAGAAATTGTAAGGAGTGGCAACTACTGGAGGGTTATGAGATTATCATGGTTTCTGCCTTTGGAAGGGATTACCATACTCCTTATAGAACTCTGATTACCCACTCCCATGAAAATTGTTAGAAAAAAAGGAAGCTTGCCCCCAAATTTCTATGCCTTTCTGTCTTGTCGTGTAATATTTCCTCATTTCATGTGCTGGGCTATTGCAAAGCCATCTATCAACGAGGCCTCATATAAACTGCTCTATGCATTGCCATGTTTGTGAGCCTCCAAAACTTTAAAATAAGTTTCTTTTTGTTTATAAGTCACCAACCTCAGACATTTTGTTAGGGCAATAAGACATTAAATCATAAAATTGTAACTATTATGAGGATATTTGGTCCAGATTCTTTCATATGTTTTATAAATAATAAGATAATAAGTTCCATGAGTTGTAACAATATGAATCTGAGGTAATATAGCCAAAGGAATTATCTAGTATTCTTTTTTTTTGGAGAGAAGTTGGGCTTCAGTGATAGATGGATACAATTCAGTAACTCTGATATATAACTGGTCAAGTAATGGTCACAACAGACTAGGTAGAGTTAGACAAAGGAATTTCTTGGAGCATCTGCCTATCCTAAGGTGTTATAAAGAAAATGTGGGACAGTTGGAGAATTGGACTCAGGAATTTACTTGAAGCCAATGGATATTTCAAAGAATTGTATGAAAATTTGAAGATAAAGCCATTGCAAAGAAAGTTTATTTTTTTAAGTTTGATTTAATTCGAATATTTGTGTCTAAGAAGCACAGCATGAAAGTTACCTTTGTATTTTCCAAATAAAGAAATGTATTTTAATAACAGAAATGCTTGAAATATATATTATTATCAACCATATCTAACTTAAAATATAGTGTATCTATATATAACACTTTTCCACCCTAACTTGTTCCCCACTGGCTTATGGTACTCTCCAAATTACTGTAATTCTGAATTTCTCAGTTTGAAAAGACAATGGACTTATATTAGTTACAAAAGTACTTGTTGAACTGGAACCCTGACACACATTTATTTTAATCATCCTCCTAAGAGCAGCATACAATCCTTACTTTATTTATTATGCTGTGCAGATCTGAGGATATCTTCAGTGTGCAACAAAATCATTACTAAATTATGTTGAATTGCTTCTTAAAGATTTTATCATAGACATCTTTATTGTCTTTACAGCCAGGGTTTTAAAATATGTGGCTTTCCCCAGTTTGTTCTTCAGGAAAGAATTTCTTGCATGGGAAAATAAAATTTAGATCATTCTCTTTAAAAGGGTAATTTCAGGATGCTCACTCTTTACATATAAGGTAGAGCACATCTTTACCTTAAAATTTAATACATACATTCCCTTGAATGGATATTTAAAAAAATAACTAAATTAACCTCCCTATGAGAATATACTGAGCATATACATTCAGGGAATATCAAGAATCTAGCAGAAATAAACATTGGTATGGCTTTTATACTTCACTACTTCCAGCATTGTTTTGTCCTGATATTTTTATATAAAAATTTAGGAAATCCCAATTTTTCACAGAATCTGGATGTTACATACACTTTTGAAAATAACTAGTCTTTCCAGGCCTAAAAAATGGTGTACTTGTGCCTTCGTATCCACTAGGGATTGGGTCTAGGACCACCACAGATGTTACACTCTTGGGTGCTCCTGTACCCTATATGAAGTGGTTTAATATTTGTAGAGAAACTATGTACATTCTCCTGGATTTTGAAAACCATCTCTTTAGTATCTAGTGCAGTATAAGTACTTCTTAGACTGTATTGTATGGGAAATATAACAAGAACAAAATGTCTGTATGTGCTCAGTAAAGACAATTTTTTCCCCCAAATTTTGACCCTGGTTGGTTGAATCCATAGATAAGAAAACCACTAATATAGTGGGTAGACTGAACAATCATTACCAACCTAGAATAGAGGATAATTTCACAAAGGACTTAGAAAACTGAAACCAATTTCTATCACAGTGCTTTTGACACAAATCTTTCTGGTTTCTTCTCCCAAAAGTAAAAATTTCTATATTACTCTGTATGTAAGACTAAGTTACATAATGAATGTCTTAACTGATAAAAATGATCAAAGATATTATTTAATATCAGGGAATGAATAGGTGTATGTGTGTGTGTGTGTGTCTATGTGTGTGTGTGTGTGTGTTTCCAGAAAAATAAGATTACATCTGGCGATCAGCCTGAAATTTGCCAATTCTTAAAAGTTATTTATATTTTTACAAACTAAATGTGCAAAATATCCAGTGATTTTAAGAACCACTACAGATTCCAATGATATGTTGTTTTTTAGAATAAATATGGGTTGCTGTTTATTTACTTATATATTTTTTGTAATAGATTGAAATTTTTCCTTTCAAATATTTTTAAGATTCTGACTATTCAATAAATTATTCCAGAAAAGTCTCAAAGACCTTTACTTTGTCTATAAAGATTTTTTTAGTGATTATCACCTTGGATTCTCAAAATATTTATTCAACAAGTACCTGTGAAGTCCACTAACTTATTTTCATAAATTGTATCTAATTTTATAATATGTTTTTAAATTTTTAGGTGTGATTATCACAAGTAAATTTTAGAAGATTCATTTTTTTATTTAGCTATAAACCACACCATGATCCATCCAGATATATTCACAAAAGCATGAAACAAAACCCATTCCAATTTAGTCCCCTCCATTACCACCCTTCATCTCCTAACCTCCCTTCACTCCACTAATCCCTGTTCAATCCATTGAGAATTTATTTATTTATTTAATGAATGGGGGAGTTCTGGAGATTTAACCAAGAGCCTCTGTACCACTGAGCTACATCCCCAGTCCCCTTTTTTTATTTTGTTTTATTTTATTATGGGGAGGCTAGCAGTGCCTCACCAGGGTGTCCTTCTTCATGTCCAGGAGGCTGTAAGCCACCAGAGAAAATAAGTCAGAAATAATTAGTAAAGAACAAAAGACACAGTCAGAAAAATCATTTTAAAAGTAGAGCACCTGATAGGTACAGTTTATTTAAGGGAACATATCAAAGGTAGAGATAAGGTTTCAGGGGTGGAGTCTTACTTCATGTTGTCTTACAGTCAGCATTGATTGGCATCTTGGCAGGTCACACCTGCCTATGGGAGGCTGTGTGGATACAGTAGGTCACCCAATCTCCCATGCTGTATGGGACCAGACAGAGCTGAATAGGGCTCACAATGTGTTTGGATGGTCTTGGCAAGAGGAAATTCCAAGGGAAGTTCCCAGACTCCATATTCTTCTCTTCACTGGCTTAGATGCCAGTGCAGTCCACAAATAGCCCACAATGGCTATGGACATTTTATTTTATTTTATTTTTTAAATTTTGAGAAAGGTTCTCACTAAGTTGCTTAGGGCTTTGCTAAGTTGCAGAGATTGGCTTTGAACTTATCATCCTCCTGTCTTAACTTCCCCAGCGGCTATGATTACAGGTGTGTACCATCATGCCTTACAGTTTCTTTTTAATTAGTTTCCTATGGGTACACATAATGCCCCACCCACTGTGCTACATCCATGTGTATGCATATACAAAAGTTTAATCTGATCCATTCCACTGTTTTTCCCTTTCCCATCTCTTTTTCCTCCTCCTCAACTTCTACTGTACTCATCTTTCCTCTATTTTGATGAAATTCCTTTTTTCCTTCCTCTTTCTTTTCTTCTTCCTTTTTTTAACTACTCCCCTTTCACTCCTTATTTTTATTAGCTTCCAAAAATAAAAAAGAACATTCAGCCTTTGACTTTTGGGGACTGAATTATTTAATTTAGCATGATAGTGTCCACTTCCATCCATTTACTGTCAAATACTATCATTTTATCTTTCTTTATGGCTGAGTGATAGTATATATATATATATATATATATATATATATATATATATATATATATATATATATATATATATATATATATATATCACATTTTCCCACTCATCTGTGGACACATTTAGACTGCTTCCATAGATTGGCTATTATGAATTGTGCTGCTATACATATTGATGTGGCTGCATCCTGATAGTGCACTGATTTGGAGTCTTTTGGATGTACTGAGTTTTTTGATGAATCTCCATACTGCTTTCAAAGAAATTGCACTAATTTGCATTCTCCCCAACAATGTGTAAGTGTATCTTTTTCTACATTCCTACCAAGATTTATTGTTACTTGTGTTCCTGATCATTGTCAGCCTGGCTGGAGTGAAATAGAATCTCAGAGTTGTTTTAATTTGCATTTTTAAAAATTATTTGTATGTCCTGGAAATTAATGCCCCCTCCGAGGTTCACATGGCAAAGATTTTCTCCCATTCTGTAGGCTCTCTCTTCATACTCTTGATTTTTTTTTTTTTTTTGCTGTAAAGAAGCTTGTTAGTTTGATGCCATCCCATTTAATGA